GTTTACACCTTAAACATGCATGGTAACAACGATGGTGAAATTTAAATTTCCACTGTACTTTTACTGGTTATTTGTGCTTTATTAGTTATCTTTCATTTAACAATCCACACCAGATAAAATTGTCTTATTTACATTATTTCATGTTTGAATGGTTTATTTTATCAACTTACAATGTCATCGAAAAGTTTAATTTCCCCTACAAATAACGGACTATTATTTACACTGGCAACATTACACCGAAATGTCAAACGACTATAAACAGAGGCACCACACGCGCCGTTTTCGTTTTCTCGAGGCGCGTACTACTTTCGTCCCTCTCGGCTCTATAACTTCGGAGAAAGTTGAACGATGTTTTGGAGCGACAGAGGGACTAGAATTGCGTACTTTTATGATACCGTAATCAGTTTGGATGCCCACACGTTGACAAATTAATAGGCAAATTGTTTCTCCTCACAACTTTGTCTCTACGGGTTCAAGGAGTCGGTATGCTGTTAAAAATCTTTGTTTAAGGCAGAACGTTAAGATAAAACGAGGTGGTTTATGTGCTCTCTGAATAGGCCCGTTTCATGGAAAAATTTGATAGACTACATCATTATAACACAACATGACACGATTCTGGGGCAGTCTGGAAGCATCTTCTTTTAATAAAGTCGAATGTTATTAAGTACTGAATTTCATCAGCTATATAAAGTGAAGTTTTGTAATACCTCACCTTATATGAGTGACTATGAAGTGACTATTTGCTGCTGTTTGTTTGAGAACGTTTCATTTAAAATTTATTTTAATAACTGTCTTCTTCTTCATTTTCATTTAATTTTTAGTATTTTATAAACTCTGCTTCTTGAATGTTTGTAGTGAAAGCCCAATCGATTTTTTGATGATATAAGACAGCGTTTTCAAACTTCAAGTCGCAGAAGAAATACCTACTACCATAGACTACTCAGACAGATAATACGCCCTTCTTTTGTTTTAAATTTCTAAATAATATGGCCATTATTATCATGAACAACAAACACCCGCTGATAAAAGAAATTTGCAGGCCCCTTCCATAAGACAAAAAAAAAAAATTCGCGCCAAAATCTCTTTCCAAAATAATACGCGCAGTCGCGCACCGCAGACTGTCACACACATGAAAGGCGAAGGAATCTATTCTGGCCGACCACCGAAAATAAAACCATCACTAACGCCTATTAAAAAAAATTACTTCCTGCCGAGAACATATTTTATAGGACAAAGCAACGTAGTTATGTAATTAATGCGAGCGTTAGATATGTCGCAACTGGTTCAGTCGCATAAACACATGACCGCTATTTATTTAGCAGTATTTTTGGCGGGAACTTAGGAGTTCTTTAATTTTAATAGACGAAGGGATCTCTTATTAATTCAGTTTTAAGTTGCACATAAAATTAAAAGAGAAAAAAGAGACGGAATCAACGAGAAAGACAGATAAGGCACCGAAACTACTGGCCCGATTTAAAAAAATCTTTCACCTACGGGAAACTACGTCATATGCAGGTGACATAAGCTTTAATTTAAAACGGGCGATGTCGCGGTAAAACAGCCAGTGGCATATAACAATGATACTCACCTCTTCGACGTGACTGAGCGACGATCTGCTACCCCAGTCATCCCAAGTTTCCCGTTCACCTAACAGAATTAAAAAAAATCTTTTAAAAAGACATCTCAGCTAGTTCATTTCTTTGTTCAAGTTACAGGAGTCTAGCACTTAAGCGGGAAATTCACTAGACGGATATGCCCGCGGGCAAGTCTGCAGACATGCCTGCCAGACCTCCTTGCTAAAGTTCATTGTAATGACTGCGACGGTCCTACATTAGCCAGATTTGCCTTAAACGAGGCCCGGCAGGCATGTCTGCAGACTTGCCCGCAGATATGGTCGCCTAGTGAATGCCTTGCTTTAAACAGAAACCTTTTTATCTCTAACTCCTCCATGTTTCAGCAACCACATTAGGCTAGTACCGGTTGGGCCCTTTCTATATTTGATGTAGTAGTTATCATGTGGGTATCCGAATAATGTAAAACCAAAATTTATATTTAGAGAAGAAAGCTTTATATTTTACAAAAAAAACTTATTTCCGTATAAATTGACTTAGGAACACCTTATTTATTACCATGGACGTTTATGAGAAATATTTTTCAAAAAAAAAAAAGGTTTTTCTTCTCTGAAGAACAATTTTGGTGTTGCAGCTTACTACGTAATAACCTTTCTCACGTTATATCTAAGATCCACGTGAGATTAGGAGAGTTGAATGAATGAATGAATACTTTTATTGTACACTATAATTAAATAAAAGGACAATCGATACAATTTAGTGGTACAATGCGGCGGCCTTATCGCTAAAAAGCAATTTCTTCCAGGCAATTGCAGGTTAGACTGGACTATTACTTAAGTGGATAGGCAATAGATGGTGCCTTATATGGCGAGAACAACATGTTTTCATATATAAACATACCTACATATGCACACATACATAAAATATACAATTATAAATATAAAAATACCTAAGCAAAGTATACGTATAGAATAGAAGTAGGATAAAAATGATAGCATATTATACTTAAAGTGATAGATAATATTCTTTAACATATTTTTAAGCAGTTAAGTGATGGAGTGTGTTATTTCTTTGGCAATGCATTCCACAAGCAAACAACCCAAACTGCAAATGACTTATCAAGGAATTTTGTGGAATGCATCGGCATCTGCAATTTTAAGTTCTCTTATGAAATCAAAGCGCGAGAGTGTGAATCGCGAGGGAACTTGAAGTGTTTCTTAAGATAACTTGGAAATTGAACAGAATGCTGTAAAGCAGGGAAACAATATGTGCATTCCGACGAAGACGAATTGGCAGCCATTTGAGCTTAGTGCAAAAATCAGTTTTATGATCATACTTGGGTAACCCAAATATGAATCTAATACAAAAATTTTGAAGTCTCTCAAGTTAATTTAATTGCTGCTCAGGTAAGTCTAGATAGCTGACATCAGAGTAATCCAGGATTGGAAGAAGAAGGGATTGTGCAAGTGCAATTTTAGTGGCCACTGCAAAAAAACTACGCAGCCTCTACAAGGAAAGAGTTTCGTATGCTGTCACTAGGGACTCAAGTGATACCATCAAACATTATTGCAGGTAAACATGAAAAAGATGGTGGCTTTTCAGGCAACCGAATATTCAGCTCTTTATTAGTAAACAAGATCACAAATGTGCCCACCTGTTCATATGTAATAGCACCAGAGTGAAAATTGTGACGACTTGGGGTTATCCGAGTGGTATTGCACAGGTTAGTTTGTGTGTTTGTCCTGCAATTTGTCTGATTTTCACTTGTTGTCATGGTTATGGTGTTGGATAGAGAAAACAAGGCTGGATACCAGATAGTCACCATATGTTTCATCTTTAATACAAAAGCTAAAGTTCCTAACTTTAAATAAAGCATTATATTAAGTGACATTTATAACTTACAGTAACTCGCTTCACTATCCACTTCTATACTTCTTCGATGCATTTTGAATATCCTGTCACATTCTGTAACAAGTGAGAAATTGTTTATATCTTAGTTGAATTTAAAACTCATTTAACCTACAGACTCGCTGATAATTTTTATTTTACATACACAAATAAGATCTCTTTATTGAGAAAATAAACAGAAATAACAGGTATGTTAGATGTTAATTTTATAATTATATCATAGAGTCAGAACACTGAAACAGTAACAGACTAGCCACACCTGTACATAGTATAAAACATGATGTTCCCGCTGTCTGTACGCTGAGATCTTAAAACTATGTAACAGACTCTAATGCAGTTTTCTTCAATATACAGAGTGATTTAAAGAGGTAGGTACTTATGAATAATACATGACGACGGAAGTGAAGATGCTGGAGGAAAGTTAGCAGTCGATAAATGGACGAAATATATTAAAATCATTTCAGAAATGGAAAATAGGCAATGGCCAGAATAATAATACTAATGGAAGATAATCTATTCCAGGGGTGGAACAGGCAAAGGGCATATTAGACAAACCGGAAGCGACCTTTGTCAAGAGTGATTTTGATAAAACAGGTTCTGATGTCGACAAATTTTATTTATGCAGAATCTAATAGGTATTCAAATACCACCTACCTGAACTGTTCAAGAAATCATTTTGCACTTATTCATCATTTTCATAACTACACTCTATTCTCGCAAATAATTTCACATTATACAACATTTTAAGACACTATTAGCACCTTTTATTTAGATAGAACAGTAAATTATCACTTAAGAACACATCCACACCCACTTTATTAAAAGTCACTACAAACTGAATATGAATAGGACTCTTGTGTATATTTAGTACTTATTACACAAAGGGCACTCATCGAAGCACTTTTTGTAGCTAGTTTGTGTTATTTTATTTATATTTTACGGGAAACTAATAGAGTTCAATAAACTCACTGTTTACAATGTTATGTCAAATCGATGGCCGGATTAGGTTCGTTTTAGTGACAGTTTTTATTGAAGTAAAGGGAAAGGGGAAAATCAAATTCCTATAAAATGTCTGTTACGAGAAACAGTTATTTAATCAAAACATAAATAGCAATTAATTGTTTTTTTATAATATTTAGAGATTATGTAATGAATAAAGCTTCTTAATATTATAGATAGATTTACGTTATTGTTATTAAATGAATACGAAAGTGACATAGTAAAGAACCAAAATTTGAACTTTTTAAAAATGTAAGGATTTATTTATGGCCTTGCACAAATGTTTTTAAGTTATTTTTAGCATAAAATCAAAATCTAATGTTAGTACTATTTGTACCAAGTAATATATATTACCGATCACTAAGCTTAATATTTAAGCTTTAAATATGCCTTTTATTGAAATATACTAATAAAATGAAGTAGAAAACTCTAATATGGACTATAATATTGATTTTCAGTTTACGTTATTTTTTTATATTTCTGGAAAACAACAGGTACAAATCAGACGAAAATCATTCATTTAAGTAACTTTATTATCAATAAACAAAACAATAATTCAAAAAAAGAAATTCCGATCCATCATAATATTTAACACTAAATGCACAATCACTCTTTCTTCTTTTTACTAGGCGATTCATCGTCTCTGTCTCTAGCGCTGCTCCGTCTCTTTCTATCCTGTTTCTCTTTTTCTTTTGCGTCACTATCATTTTTCTCCTCTTTAGTTTCTGACACGTATTTTTTTACACGCGCTGGCTCCGGTGAATATGCCCATAACATCATTTCGATATGTTCTTTTGTTGGCTGTTCTTTTTCGTCGAAGAGTTTTGCTTCTGCATGCTGAAAAATAAAAAGTACCTTTTGAATTTGTGGCTAGACTTGGCGGGAGCACTTCCGTGCCGCGAGATTAAAATTAATAATTAACAAGGTTTCTGGCAGCGGCTTTGACCTGTCACTCTGTATACTAATGAATACCGCATTAAAATTCATTGTGTAGTTTAAAATATCTTATAGTTCAGACAGCGGGAATTCACTTTGTTATATATAGTAAGTAAGTATATATAAGTAATGAAAACGGCTGGAATAAATACAATCTATGACTTTAATTAGAGTCGGCAGTGTAACAACCGCCGTATTAGCCATATCAATGATACACATGGCCACAGGGGCCCCTAACGTATGTTAGGAAAAAAAAATTCTTCATGTGGGCCTCCAACTAGTGTAACTATCGTCGTTTTAGCCATATCAATGATACTGGCTACAGGGGCCCCTAACGTATGTTATATTTTTTTCCTTCATTTGGTCCCCCAACTAATTTTGATACAGGCCCCCTAACTGTTTTTGATACAGGGCCCCTAACTATTTTTTATACAGGGGCCCCTAACTAATTTTGATACAGGACCCCTCCCAAGCACGCTACACCACTGACTAAAGTGAGCCCATTTCTAAATAAAATTAAAAAAGCTTGATGTCATATTGAAATATATTTCACACCTACTTTTAAGTTTCATACATAAATTATTGTAACCCAAGCTGTGTATTGATTTATTACAGTTAATATTTTGCTATCAGCAGGGCGATTCTGTAAAAATACGAACCCGAATTTGAATTCACTCATGTGTCCCAATTCACGTCATTAAGTAAAGAAATTCTATTGATTCCATTTTTTGTATAAAAATACAAAACAAAATTTATTGATTATACGTGTGTCAGATATTCTATTCTTATGTAATTTCGAAACTCACTTCACTCATGCCGAGGAAGTACAAAAAAAAAAGTTTATTCCCAAAATCAAACTAGATGTCGCTACTGTACGTTCTTGATTTCTCTATGATAATTCTTCCAGTTTTCTTTCGTGTATAAAGTAAATTAGTTTTCAAAACTCATATTCTATTTGTAATTTTTGTATTTGTATTGATATCTAAGTTTCGAACTTTGCAAATTTCATTGTTTTATATGTTAGTTAAAAGGAACAGAAATGACTGTCTTTGGTCCATTCGTTTCCTGCAAAAATCAACTTTTGTTAGAGTCGCCATCTAGTGGAGGTGCTTTTTAGTGCTTTCGTTTTTTTTAAAATACTTCCTCGTTCAAGATTGAGAGGATGCCGCTTTTTCAAGTGAATTCGGACGCCTGTATAAATTTATAATTCGGTTTCGGATATTTACAGAATCGCGGGGCAGCACGGTTCTTTTAAGGAAAGAAAAGAAAATAACTATTTTCAATCTGCATCAAATTAATCTTGATTGTCAGTCTCCACTGATTGAACTGAGGTCAGGCGGATTATCTAATGACATTTTGGAATTTTCATTAACACATTGAGAAAAGATAAAAGAGCATGCAATTAGGAAGTATTAAAAAAAGCACTAAAAAGCCCCTCCACTAGAGACTTTAGCAAAAGTTTATTTTTGCAGCAAACGAATGGACCAAAGATAATCATTTCTGTTCATTTTAACTAACATATAAAAAAAGCTGAAATTTGCAAAGTTCGAAACTTAGATATCAATACAAATACGAAAAAGTACAAATGGAATATGAGTTGTTTATTGAGTTTTGAAAATTAATTTACTTTTATACATGAAAGAATACCGGTAGGGTTGTCATGGTGAAATCAAGAAAGTACCGTAGCGACATCTAGTTTAATTTCGGGAACTAATTTATTTTTAATACTTCTCCATTGTTTAATTTGCTTACCTTTTCCTTCAAATCCTTGAGTGCAACGTTTCTGACTATATCCCAGGTCTTCCCGCCTTCAGAAGACTGAACGGTCCTTAACCGTTTGTATTCCCCGTTCACCGACACATAAGCAGCAATGAATGATTTCTGAAACAATATTCAATTTATTAATGACAAATAATAATAATGTACAGAATCATCTAAATACATATAACTCAAAGGTGACTGACTGATGAGTGATCCATCAACGCACAGCCCAAACCACTGGACGGATCGGGCTGAAACTTGGCATGCATGTAGATGTTATGAGGTAGGCATCCGCTAAGAAAGGATTTCGATCAATTCTACCCCCAAGGGGATAAAATAGGGGATGAAGCTTTGTATGAAACTTTATTAATTTTAAACCGATCGGGTTGAGATTTTGCATGCATGAAGCTACTATGACGTAGACATCCCCTAAGAAAGGATTTTGATAAATTCCAACCCTAAGGAGATATAATAAGGGATGAAAGTTTGTATAAATCTTCTTAGATTTTCGACTCATTGAACTGAAATTAAAGATTGGAGCTACTATGATGAAAATGTCCGCTTAAATAGGATTTTGATCAATTCAACCCCCATGGGGATAAAATAAGGATAATGGAGGATGCAAATGTATTAGTTTGAAGTTATCAGTACCTAATGGAACGAATAAATAAATATTTGTTGGAAATTATGCTCAAAGTAACTTTACCACGCGGACGAAGTCGCAGGCAAAAGCTGGTATTAAGATAGAAGTAAGGGCGCTTGTGCACTACACTGAATTTTCAGGTCCGGCGGTCCGATTTCTTCCGGTCCGGAATAACATGAAAAACCCGGATGAGTAGCTTGTGCACTTGTCCGTTTTTTTCCTGATCGGAGCGGCGCAGTGTAGTGCAGCTCTCTTTGAAGCTACACGTCACTTACGCTAGGTACGATGAGATTTTTGGAACGCCGGTAATTGCGTTCGAAGACGTAGAAAGGTACCTAAATAATGATCTGATCGTTTTACATAAACCATAATAAATTATGGCAAGACGAAAGCATTTTTTTTACTACTATCGGATGACTACTATCAGATGTAAAAACTTATACCCTTACTAATTTAGGAACAGCATTATTCACATACAATATATGTGACATTAGAATAAAATTACTGATAATGGTCTAGTACTTGATGTTTAAATTTTTAAACGTGCTATTTTATTTCGAAGTTTTGTAAAAACAATTTTCAGCGATTACAGAGATAGACCGATCGGTGGTGCTATTTCGTAAACAAATCGAAATTATGCTAGCGGAGAATTATGCTAAATGAACTTTACGCGATCAGTTGACTGTATTATATATAGTCATAATTTTATACGCGTGGTGTAGTTTTTTTGAGCAGAAATATTATTCCCTTAGAATACTTCTTTTTTAAAAATTTATTAATGACACAAACATACATTTAATTTTTTTTAAATGTGAAAAAGACATTGAGTGTCACTTAATTACTTTTGTTAATCTTCTGTTTATTCTTTATTATTACTTCTGTTTTCAAATATTTATCTATACTTATCAATTGTCTAAAAAAAAATTGACAATGACAAATTTCCAGGCAAACTTTCATCCCCTAATTTTCGTGATAAAATGTAGCCTATGTCCTTTCGTAAAGTAAAGTCTATTTACTATATTAATTTCCATTTAGATGGGTTCAGTTGTTTAGGCGTCTAAGCGTAACAACACTTATTTATCTTACCTTAAGCTATCGATACTTTTAATACGATTCTAAAATCTAGCTAAGTATCGTTACTAGAACCATACGCTGATCAAGTAGAACTATACCGAGTTTGCCAAAGCATATGCGGTGATATATACCAACTATATTAAATCATCATATAAAATATAGCATTTTATAATCAATAATAAATATCGATTATAAGTTTATTGGAAATTAACAATATTGCCGAAATAAATATCGATTCAAATCGATTATTTTTTCCCAAGCCTATTCCTTATGAATTTTCCGGATCGCGGACACAGCAGTGCACAAGCGTAAACACGTTTTTCATTGCCGCCATCACGGCACCTGAAAAAACCGGTCCGGAATAGAGAAAAGTAAAATTCCGGACGGTAAAATTCCTGACAGTGCACAAGCGCGCATTACCTACATATGGCCTGACATATCGGAGCTGAAAAAATCGGGCCGCCGGACATGAAAATTCAGTGTAGTGCACAAGCGCCCTATGAGTTGTTTATTGAGTTTTGAAAACTAATTTACTTTAATACATGAAAGAAAACTCGAAGGGTTGTTATGGAGAAATCAACAAAGTACCATAGTGCCATCTAGTTTTATTTCGGGAACTAATGTTTTTTTTAATACTCCTCATTCAATATTAATGCCATGTTAAAGTTACCTGTTGATCAGTGATACCATCAGCCATTTTCTCAGCTGTCCGCACGTGACCCAGCGATATGTACGGGTTGTTCTGCTTACTCATGTGGTTTGTATCGAAATCGTCCAGAAACTTCTCGAAGATACTTATAGCTTCCTTTATATTAGCCAGTTTCGTCTCATCGCGAGTACCTGGTGAACCACAAAATGTAATTGAGCTACCCATAAATATGAATTTAAAATTCATGCAAAGAACATACTTATGAGTAAAGGCTATTATAAAGTTGATGATTATTTTAAGGATCGCAATGCATGGAATTAATAGCCATCGCTTTGTTCTATAAAGACTAATTATATGTACCAACTAATGACCTACAGACTTTGAAACTTGTATTTATTATTGTTCAATATATGTATTATTTTGGTAATGACATGATTTATGTAAATGTCATTACTTATGATAAAGATCTGGTGAGTTTCTTTCGCTTGTTCAAAATCTGCTATTCTTTGCTGACATTGACAGTGATAGGGAGGGATACGCGGAAGGAATCGATACGTCAAGGTATCGATATCTTTGATTCGATGCGAAGCGGAACGTGATATTTATGTTTACATAGTTTTTTGTAATTAATACTATATATTTTTATGTTTATTATTTTACGTACTATTTATCTGTGTATTGTAGTAATATTTTATAAATATTACTTTTGTTATATCTATATTTTCCACCATATTTTAATACGTATACACAAATTATATATATGCCTCAAATACAACTAGTTTTTAGATAGAACGCATTTACATATATATAAACACACACACACACGTTATAGCACACACACACACAATACGTCACTACACAGGCCCTGTCATAATACCAGCGTCGGTACTGTGATAAAACACAGTAGCGACATTAGCTGAGACAGGGTCCTAATTGGCCTTCACACAATATTAATACACAGAACTAGATTTATAGACATGAATTTCTGTGAGTGATTGTCTGTCTTCTGTTTTTTTTTTTTTTTGTTGTTATTGTAATGTTAAGGTGTGAATGTCAATAAAAATATTCTTATTCTTATTCTTATATTGTCAGCTAAAAGACGTCCTGAACGAGTGGTAGGGGAAAAATGTTTTTTGGACGATCCAAAAGTGTTTATAATAAGCTTACTTGAATAAAGATATTTTCATTGCAATATTTTAAATTAGTTAAAGCTCGATGTAAAGCAACTTCCGCAAAGGTCGACCAAAGATTTCTCCATGTTTCATCGGCTCATGTTCGTTTCTGTCCTGGTTGTATCTCTCGTTAATAGTAACCTTTAATCGAGCAACTTTTAAATAAGTTGGAATTTGGATGGGTGACTGGAAATTATTATGCTATCGATTGGAGTCACATTACAAATATAAATGTTCTGAATCGACTTGCGTGGATAGTTAATTAGTTAGTCTATTCTGTCTATGAGTTTCTAGATATAGAGAAATCATCAGATAACATTAACTACCCAACGTGCGTTCGGTTTACGATTGCGAACGTTAAGCGACTTTCGAAAAGGTCGATTATAAGATGGGTAATGGATCAATCCAGTAATTCTTGAATTTATCCTTTATAAACAAAAAACCATTCCTGTTTAAAATATCAGTGTAGATAATGAAACACGCTTACATGTTAGTACTCTTTTAGCTCTCCCTATGAGGCCTTTGACTGCTAACTTCTGATAATCAGGGTCCCTTCCTTCCAGTTCCTTTATAGTACCATCAGCTGCATCCTTATCTTTGAATCCTAACCCAGGGACTGTGTCAGCAGGCAGCTCCTTCTTCTTAGGTTGCTCTTCTTCCATCTCCACGTCCGATGCGGAATCCTGCAAAGAAATAAACCATTTTTCTGCATAAATATGCTAAGCCCTGCTTTTGCTCTTGATTTGCTTAACTTGAATTTAGATGTGTGTTGGAAAAGCAATATGCATCTTTATTACTTACATCACAATCAGCTCTAGTGTGAAAACGTAACAGACAAACAGTCTCATTATTGTATTTCAGGATAGATTTGGATTTTTAGATTGAAGGTGTCCTGTTACTTGATTTTGTAAAGTTGACGATATCATCTCCGAGACTCCAAGTTCTATTTCAAATCAATGTGAAAATGATCCATTTCTCAAGGTGTAGTAGGTTAAAAAGCTTTCCAATTTTAGGGTTTCGGAGCAAGCTATAATCTATACATGACATTTATTAATTATATGTGGGAAAATACTGGGACGTGTGTATAGGCAAAGCAAATCAATCAGATAAGTATGAATCAAGGAAGTTCATGCAGAGGTCCTCAAAATAAGTAGTCACCTCTTCATCCCCATTCTTCTCTTCCGATTCTCTCTTCTTGTTAGTCTTCTCCTTCTGTTCAGTCTTCTGCTCTTTATTCTTGTCCAGTTCCGCGAGCCAATTCTCGAACACTTCCATAGCTTCTTTGATGTTCTTTATTTTGTCTTCTGCTTTTGTCACTGTAATTAAGAAGACTAAATATTAGACGATCGTTATTGCTAAGCAAGGTCACGAGATGGATGACCAAAGAGTGATTATCTCGAGCTACTCTGTACTTCGGAAGGCACGTTAGGCCGTTAGTTACGGCTGCGTTTGAAGTCGTTAATACTCTTCTTCCTTAGACATAATTAAGGAAGGCTTGATTACATACATTATCCAGATCCTAAATTAAGTAGCTAAAGCAAAAGAAATATGAAAAAAGAAGTCACCAAGAGATATAAGACTAAGAGATATAGGACTATATAGAAAAGTTTTCTACCAGAAGAGACACGAAATGAATTCGCGATCTGAGAGTATTTTAAAGTAACAAGCTGTGTCTGCATGATTGATACATGTTTACAGACAAACTGTTGGATTTTGATGTTTGATATGGAGATAGTTGCAAAATATGGCGGTCTTGTCTATTTCTGCTGAGGCAGTTATGTAAGCTGATATCAGTCTCACACTCAGTTGCATACACACCTCCATTAAAATTGACATTAGCATAGAGCAACATTACCGACACAAATTTTCAAATTTAGATCATTCTTTAGACTTTAAAACTTTTTTTTTAGATTCTTTAGATTTAATCCTCTTCAAATAATATTAGAAAATACATATTAGTCTAGTCAGAAGTGATGATTACAGATACAAATTTAAAACATACACTAAAGTTTCTGCAACTGCATGTGAGAATATCATTTCACTACATCATCATGGTGCTTAGAAAACTGATAACCCATTTAATAGTGACCATAGATTGAGACCCTGCACATTTTTGTTCACTTACTGGACAAGACTCGTTTGGCCCTGCCCAGCAACCCTCGCACTGTTAACCGACGGTAGTTCATCGGGTGCTCCTCCAACAGCCTCAGAGTCTCTTCAGCCTTCGCCTTATCTTTGAACCCGAAACCGGAGTCTTCTTTCTCGTCTTTACCCATTTTCTGTAAAACAAATACCGAATTGTTATTTATTAATAAAATATCAGATCAGTGAACGAGAAATAGACTAGATGTTAAGCAACTCTCGTAAGTACAAGTCATAGGATGGGTGACTAAAAAACATATTATCTCCGTTCTTCAGAAACTTCGGCTCCATCTGCAATCGTTAGCACCCACCATTACACACTGGACCTGCGTGGTTGATTATGCCCTGTTTCTTTTTATTCAATTCCATACATATCGAAGGACTGTGTCTCAGCAGAAGAGACAGTAATAGACTGGTGATGTAGATAAGATTATTAAACGAATGACTCTAATACAACGGATGCGGAAAATAATGGTGCGATGCTCTATTCGTATCTAGAAACAGAGTAATAAGCGTACCTATTGTTATGAGCCTCGCGGGGTTGAGTTTAAAAAAAGATAAAATAATTAATTTATTTGTGGAACAGCCGTCGAGTATGGATGATGGAACGAGACTGAGGAGTGTATGGACGGGATCGGCAAGCTATGAATGGGAAGTGATTGTGTAAACTAAATAGAGATGTATGGCATGCAAAAAGGGGTACAAATACTATCTATAACAGTACGCAATAAATAATTACTGAAAATCCATCGATCAGCTATTCCTATGCTAATTGCTAGTGACTAATTTTAAATCTTATAAGCCAGAAGCGGATACGAATCACATGAAAATAGATTTCTGCAAAATCCATTAAGTACAGCATGCTAAGTCATCATAATACACAGCATGATGCTTCACTAGCATGATGCTTCACTGTCTTTGATGAAACACGACACTGTTATAACATTGTCTTTAAAAAACTAAGTCCTAGGTGCAGCGAGGTGGGACGCGTAACCCACCCTTAGCCCTGACCTGAAGCTATTAATTTAGCTATTTATGTGTATTAAGTGGAGTTCTTCCACTTTTTCGCTAGTTGTTGCCAAATGTTTTGTAGATTGTAAATAAAAAAAAAGTTATCATTAAAAAGCATTTGTAAGTCATATTCATTATAAAGTGTCTTTATTTTGCCACACTATTTTTATCTTTGTTTTGTTTTTTACCATTGTTTTAAGCCCTTTAGCTATGGAAGAGCGGCTCTTTCTGGTACAGGTGTTATGCACTTAAAAGAAAGAGCCAACCTTTGAATTTAAAAAAATGTTTTTGGCAAACAAATGAAAATTTATTAATTTATTATTATTATTTTTTAAATGTTTAGTATAATTGAGTATGATACTCCCATGAAAGATTGTATACTTGATCAACTTCTATGGTGCGAAATTCCATCTAAAAGCACTTGCGGTGAATTTTCTAATCATTATTATGATAGTACAAGTAGATATATATAATTAACTCGTATTATCTTCTACAAATTTAGGATGTCCCTCATGTGGGCAATAGATAACACATTGACATTGTGTTATAAGCATAGTTTTATTACGACAGTGAGTATCGTGGAGCACATAAATAAAAGAATCATCCAATTCGGTACAGTCGGAACTAGAATTCGGAAGTTATGCGCGTACATACGTTTCGCCGATTCATTTTTATTCATCTATATTTAATAGCTCGCCCGGAGATTTTTATGTTTCGTTAATCATTTTTTTTATATAGTGTAAAAGGCAATTTTGGTCTACATTGCATGCATAACGTATCTAACTTATTTATTTGAATAAGGATTAATACTGTATGTTCGTAAATAACCTATCATTTTACTGTTTTAAGTATACGTAAAAAATGGTTATTGTGGGTTATCCTTGGAATATAGATATATACCGCCGCGACCTTCTTTGTAGATCTATTAAAGAGGTACAATTCCACTATATAATGTTTTGTTGTAACTCAAAAGTTTTTGGCAGCGTTTTCGAGGAAAGCTTCCGATCGGCAATATTTTATCCGACATATTGAACTAATATCGTTGTAATATCGTCAGTTTGTACAAAACCTAAACTTATTATACACTAAAACCTTCCTCAAGAATTGCTCTATCCATTGTTGATAACCGCATGAAAATCCGTCCAGTACTTTTCGAGTTTATCGTGATCAGACAGACAGAAGAGGCGGGGGAGTGATGATTTTCATTTCAATAATTTGCTTAACGTTCGGGGTCTACGTTTGAAACAAATAATAATACGACCTATAAAGTATTGATGTTAAGTTTACTTTAAACAGCAATAGAGTTTTTTCTAGGATATTTTCAATAAAACCTTTCCCTCCAGATGAACTTTCCATGACCGAAGTAAGTGGACTAGGAATACCTAAATCATGGGCAGAGACCGAATAAATACAATTCAGACACAGACTATATCATAAAAATGCTATAAAGAAGAAATTGAATTGAATCTTCACATATATAAATTGCGCAGATTCCGAATTAAGAGCTGACGCTGACGATTATGTAGTATCCGAGACAACGAAGGCACCACAACACCCAGACCCGAGACAACATAGATAAGTTCATTATGTACATTGACTCGTTCGTGAATCGTACCCGGACCTCAGAGTTGACAACACCTTCAAACCGGCGTGTAATCACTCTGCTATGAAGATCGGAAATGACACTGGGTAATTAGAATTTGGAAAAGTGAAAAACAATAAAAATATCATGGATACTTTTTTGTAGTGATAAAAAAAATAACACGCGTTGTCACCTCTATATTCATGGCATAGTGATAACATAGATTACGTCAGAGTACCAAAATAAATGAACATAAAATATTCTTTGTAGGTAACGTATTATACAAATAAAGAGGCGCGCATGATGTCACCTTTGACTACACGCAAGCAATTTACACAGACAGACATTTTAAAGACAATTTATAACGCTCGGTACACACGAAAACAATTATAGTTTTATGGCGAGAGCATTGGCCTCTATAAAATGTTAGTTGGAATCCCGAAGTATATTAAAAAGGCGATTCAATATTAAACTATACATTTTTTATTTCATCTTTGTTGAAGCCGAAAGACAAGACACGCCTTACACGATCAAATCGACCGAATGGTGATGTCAGAGCGCTTAGTGTAAGTTTTTTTGACGTTTACGTTCACTGTCGATCGTGAGCGCGTTAAGATTTTAGTATGGAATCCGGCACAGCGCCCCTAGCGGTAACTATCAAGAACTACAAATCTCCATACAAATTCTTAACGCGCTCACTAGTGAACGCGTTAGCGCAAAACTTACACTTACCACTCAGAAGACAAGAAAACCGGTGATTGCATGATAAAATGGAATATGCAAATAATGACTTTAATTCAGCTACGTTAACAATCAATTTCGTTTCAATAACAACACTTGATACTTGATTACAAAATAAGGACTATATATTTTATTCTACGCATATCCAAAGAGTGGAATTCTATATTACCAAGAACACACAACCCAAATCTATTCAAGGCTAGAGTGAAAAAGGCCATTCATTCATCTGGGCAAGCTCGTTCTATAATAGATCTCATCCATACCCCCAGGATGGATTATAATAATTATCTTAAAAGTGACTTATTCAATAAAATGCCATTAAAGTCGAGCGGAGGATTTCCGTAGGTTATTAAATAAATGATAGACGTCTGATTTTAATAGTATTTTCTTGAATAAGTCGCTTTATAGACAAGTGTTATTTTTCACTTTTTTTAACTTGGAAGTCGGTTCTATTTTTTTAGGATTTTATATTTCATGCATTTTAGTGATGCCGATTTTTTTTTATATATAATAAGTAACACAAAAAATTTGGTTCTGAAAAAAAAGTCACAGCCGTGTTAAAGTGCGAATTTTCTACTCCATTTTTTACTCGGTTAATATATCTAAAACCTTGTCCTAAGTCTGAAAAATACTATGCTGAAAACCGCATCAAAATCGGTTCAGCCAAACGCGAGATAATCGCGCACAAACACATACAGGTCAAACTGAGAACCTCCTTTTTTGTAAGTCTGTTAAAAATGCAGTCAACATTGATTGAATTTAATGTAGATAGTATCAATTAGTTGAAACGCCATTTAGATGCTATTATTATTATCTTTACATTAAGTAGCCGTAAGATACCCGGTTGGTCGGCATGACGATATAGGATAGTTTTCTCTCTTCTCTTTCTTTATTATATATGTAAATGTTTCTTTATTTCTTTATTATATAATATATTATGTAAATGTCAAACAAGGAAAGTATCACAACTAAGGTTTCCAGATAGCCGGGATTTCCGGAATTGCCCCGGAATTTTATTTTTTGTCCCGTGTCCAGTAATTTTACTTTGCTGTCCCGGAATGGAAAAATACTAGTTTTTTGTTTCACAAAGTATTCAAGTTATTATTTAAAGCCTTAAATAGTTACTTACAAAAGTTTGAAATACATTTTTTTTCTTTTAACGGTATAAGAAAGTAATTAAAAAGATTTTTGCAAAAACAGTGTTTATTTTTATTAACCAATAGTTCTAGGTAATTCCTATTTACTCTTGGACTCCTACTTAGTCTTGGATCGGAGATCAAACCTCTGATTTCGTTCGTGGCAACAGAAATGTCCAGGAAATGATCAGCCTGGATCTGGCAGCCCTAATCACAACACGCACACCCTATAATATATAGATTCTTTTTACATTGACCCAACCGGCTATCGTAATCGTAGAGTGTCACTTGGCGTGTGAACCGCTCTACCATCGAAGTACCTATTTCATACAGACAACATTTTAGATCTTATCAAATTATTACCTAAACATAAAGCGTTAACGGTACAAAAATGCTTTTACAAAAACTTGTTTAAACACAAGCACTTCTAGTATTATTAGGGTTTTTATTTTTGTTTTTCTCTCTGACATACGTATAATTGGCCAAATTTCAATCCGATTTACATTTTGTTTATTTTTTTTTTCTGTTTGAAAATGAATGCATCGGTGATTTTAATGCGGCCTTTTTTTTACTTTTCACAAGACTGTATCGACTGATACATAGCGAGTCTTAGTTTTTATCAAACTGCTATCGACTGATCATTAAAAAAACTAAATTCAGAAACGAAAACCTTTTTATGTGACGTTTAAGAACAGTTTGAGACGTACTTAACTTAAAGTACTCAATTCAGAAACCTTGTGTCAGTGTTGTGTTCCTTGTATTTTTTTCCATTATGTAAAGTTATTTATTAAACTTTATTGACTAGTATGTACATATCTTCATATCGTGTCTACATATCTGTCTGTCTACATATCGTGCAATTCCATCACTTTTACATAGGTATACAGGTCAAATCGATAACCCAAAAGTAAAAACTAGTGACCGTCTCTGGCTTCACTCAAAGTCAAGAATAATTTACATGTAACAAGCTCGATGGTAAAGTAGTAAGCGCGTTCGGCTTTCGATACGGAAGTTAAGCAACTTTCGCAAGGTTCACTCATAGGATGGGTGACTCATGAAGCCGTATGTCCCGGATTCATTGACAATCGTTAACACCCACCAATCCGCACTGGGCCCGCGTGATGGGTGATGGATCATTAACAGCAAAGGCCTCCGCCCCAGCAGTGGATGTATTCATAGGCAGATCATGAAGGAATTCACAATGCTGTATTAAAAAAATATTTATCTTAGTGAAAAGTACTTGAAGAAATTATTGCCGGAGATGGGATTCGGACCAGCTTTATCTAACCTACAAACCAATGCTCTACAAAGCTATCAGATAGCTCAATTAGTACATCTGATGGCCTGTTAAAAAAGATTCATATCCCGTATCGAGCACTTAAAACAGTGTTATTTTTTAAATAATTTTACTTTTTCTATTTTCTAGGCTACAAAGTTTAACGGTTATGTCAGTTAATCGCTTAAAATAAACATCAAAATTGTAAACATAAAATTAATTTTATGTGCGATTGTACCCGAATGACAAATTACCATAAATACTAGATTTGTATAGGCTTGTTTTGTATGACCTACCAATAAGGTTCTAGTGTTTATGACAATACGTAACCATGACGGTAAAGCAAACAAAGAATCAACAATACTTACGTTATAAATAAACTAAGTAGTCTTTAAATCCACAAAAGTCTGCTATTCACAGCACTCAAATTGAAACTAAAACACACATTCAGTCCACTCACTTCTTCAAGCGTTATGTATTGACTATTCGAATTTGGAATGGCAAAGTAAAAGCGGGAATATTTAATGCAATACGACTGAAAAAAAATGACATCTCTGGCTTGTACATTTTATTAACAAAGGATGCTTTTAAATTAATCGTGTAATACTTACGTAGTGCCGCGGATCGCCCAAAATACTAGTGACGTAATATCATTGCCGGCTTGTTTCAAGGTTGGGTATGTTTATTTCTTTCTGTGACATCATCACGTCCTAGCTTATGTAGGTAGGGATTTGTAATAGACCTTGGATGTCGTATTCATAACATTATTTTTGAGACCTTTATTTATATTCGGAGTCAAACAGAGGAAATAGTTTAAGGCTGAGATAATTAATGTTTATAGATTGACTTGTAAGATAATCATTATTTAATCACCATGATACGGTGTAAAAAGGAAACATGAGTTTAGAAACTTTTATAAAAAAAAGACGCGCTTAACTCAAACATCTTTTCTAGCATATCTTTGATAGTAAGAATGTAATAAAGTCTTAAAATGCACTAACATAAAAACGGGCCAAGAGCGAGTCGAACTCGCGCACGAAAAGTTACAAATCATTATCTATAGTAATAAAAAAATGGAAAAAATCACGTTTTTTGCATGGGAGCCTTGTTTTATTCTGTTTCGCTGTCTCTCCGTCTGTCACCATGCTGTATCGCACGAATCGTGATATATGAAAATATTTATAAAAAAGACAACAATAATATATATATTTTATTAGAATTTATTTTCAAAATGAGGAAGTATTTAAAAAAAACCATTAGTTCGTTCTTGATTTCTGCAATGACAACCCTTCCGGTTTTCTTTCATGTTTAAAAGTAAATTAATTTCCAAAACTCAAGAAACAGATCATATTCTTTTTGTACTTTTTCGTATTTTGTATTGATGTCTAAGTTTCTAACTTAACTAATTTCAGTCTTTTAATATGTTAATTAAAAGGAACGGAAATGACTGTCTTTGATACATTCGTTTCTTGCAAAAATCTACTTTTGGTAGAATCGCCATCTAGTGAGGTGCTTTTTTTGTGTTTTCTTTTTTGCTTAAAATTGCATTGTTGTTAACAACAGAAATACATAATATGTGAAAATTTCAACTACTACATAGTTGAAATTTATTATAAGAATTTATAAGTATAACGGTTCATAACATACATACAGCCTGTAGGACAATAGGGATGACGACTGGGTAAAAAAAATGCAATTCTAATTAGTCCGTCAGTCAGATAATAGAAAATATTAGATACGTATTTTTTTTTTACTTCAATTTAACAAGAAATAACTTAGCAAACAGGCATTAAAGTTAAGGAGTGGGGGCTCGCTACGTCACAGTTTAGTAGAAAACGTACCATAACGTGACGTCATGCGAAATTTCAACTCCATGTAACGCCGTAATTTTATGATTGCGAAAGAAATAAAAAAATACGTGTTAATTATTTTTTAACACTACCTGACGGACAAACAAAAATTTGTCGTCATCCCTATTCGGCTAATGTTAATGTAATATTTGCAACTCAATAGAATCTTAAGAATTTGCACTTTACCATCGTACTATTTACCTAAAGTCGAATATTATTGGTGCTATGTCTTCCTCACAATCAAAGGTGACAGATGTAGGTATAATAATATTGGACTTTTGGTAGATAGTGCAATAGGATAATACAAGTAGTTGAGATTCAATGAGGAAGTATTAAAAAAAAAATAAAAGCTTTAAAGAAGCACCTCCACTAGATGGCGACTCTAGTAGCAGTTGATTTTTGTAGGAAACGAATGGACCAAAGACAGTCATTTCTGTTCCTTTTTTAGGAACCGTAAGGTTGAATGTGTTGGTTCCTACTTGATGATGGAGACAACTGGCCAGGGAGACTAAAGGATAATTGTCTCATAAAACTAACATAACTAACACATTAAAAAACTAAAATTTGAGAAGTTCGAAACTTAGATATCAATACAAATACGAAAAAGTACAAATAGAATATGTGTTGTTTATTGAGTTTTGAAAACTTTTAAACTTTAACGAAAACCGGAAAAGTTGTCATGAAGAAATCAGGAACGTACCATAGCGACATCTAGTTTGATTTCGGGAACTAATTTTTTCTTCTCAATACTTACTCATTGAGATGCGATTATTACGTAAACGTTAGAAGAATCGTGACATACGAACCGAGCGCCAGCGTACTCTTAGTAATAGGATCCAGTTTTTACATTTTGGATACGAAACATTTTTTTTTATCGTAGGGAATGCTTATTTCCTATAGATAACTTGGTGTTCAAACTTCATGGAAACAAATCGTTATTTTGTGGTAAATTAACGAAGTTAGGGCAGATGAATCTCAGGTTATGGTCATTTTAAGATTAGGACCTAGTTTTGGCAATTTTAAGATTTCAAATAAACTTTCACACATCACACCTGTAAACGGTATTTGTTTTGCCATAATCCAACATTTCATAAACTGTTCAAAGTTATATATTTGCCTATGAGGTAGTCAGAACGTCTCGAAGTGCCAAATATCCAAAAATTGGAAATGGTCAAAACCGGGTCTTCTGCTTTACCTCAAAAATTCTTAAATTTTTCCATTTCTTGATGTATCTAATTATTTTTAAAAGGGAAATTAGTAAATATCTAGGTCACTTTGCAGCCGATGAATATAGTTTTCGAGTATTTTTTTATATTCAACATCCTTTATTCATATCTTCTTGCCGTGGGCAATGAGATAGACACAATATTTTGGTTTCATGCCCAATCTTTAAGTTTTTACATTATACTTTTTAATCTGTGCATTACGCAGTTTGATGTAGTTGTGCAAAATTACTATGAGTATCCTGTAGATGCTCTAAGGTTGTTTAAGATTTTCTTGTGTTGTTCTTGTTATAATAACAATACGAGACAATTTAAGAGTCAACGTCGCGAATTAAAATATTGATAATAATGATATAATTGGTAATATTTTTGGGTAACAACTGAATTTGATTCACATTTGATTGAAAACAGTATTGATTATAATAGTTATATTGATAGAAAAATTTAAGAAGGAGTTATTATCACGTATTAAGTTTATAATCTACGCTACTCATTATAAATTTCCAAAAAAGAGTTAAAATCTTTTGTATCGATTTGATTAGACAACGAGGAACTATTTTAAGAAAAAAGCACCTCACTAGATGGTGATTCTACCAAAAGTTGAGTTTTGCGTTCATTTATTTAACATTTCCGTTCCATTTATTTAACATATTCAATACAAATTAGATATCAATACAAAATCGAAAAATATGAATTTATTATTTATTAGAATATGAATTGTTTATTGAGTTTTGAAAATTAATTTACTTGTAAACACGAAAGAAAACGGAAGGGTTGTCATGGAAAAATTAAGAAAGTACCGTAGCGACATGTAGTTTGATTTCGGGAACCAATACACTTATATTTTTAATACTCCAGGTTAAGAATAAAAAATATGAGCATTATTCATAGAATTTCAATCTCAAGTACTGTGTTTGGAGCCTGTTATATTCTTTGCACTTGAACTTTTGTGTGAGTCACTAATTTTAATGTCTGTCTATGACTTTATGCTTTAAATATAATATTTATAGTATTAAAACGGCAGCAAGTCGATGAAAGTACAGCTGGTCAAGTACTAAAATATTACTTTCGTAGCTTAAATTTAAAATCACGTTAAGGATGTCGAAAAAATATTTATATGTAATAATAACGTAAATAAGTCAATTTCGCTTTCAGTTAGAAAAAAACGCAGAACTTTCCCCACTCTAGCTTATGTTAAAAAGTTTTCTGTAGTGATGAGACGTTATCCATTTTTTAAATCACGTAATGTACTTAACTGCGATCAGCCTTGCGATTCTGTAAAACTTCAAACCCGAATTCGAATCCACTCAGGTGTCCAAATTCACTTCAAAAAGCGGCATCCGCTCAAACTTGAATTGGTAATAACGTTTCGTGGCATAAGTGAAGTGATTTTTGAAATGATATTGGATAAAAATATCTAAGACACGTTTAATCAATCAATTTTGTTTATTATTTTCATACAAAAAATGGAATCTATAGGATTTCTGTACTAAATGGCGTGAATTCGGACACATGAGTGAATTCGAATTCGGGTCTGGATTTTTACAGAATCGCAGTGCAGATCGCCAATCACCGATACCAAAACTTTTTTGATAACTAGTTATTTCTACAACGCTACAAAATCAAAGCGAATTTTACTCTTATAGAAACGCGATAAAGCTCAATTTTGGGTTGGTTACTCGACCACTCCGAAAACGGAGCAATGTGGAATGTACAGTCATATACCTATTTCATTCACACTACATTATGATGTTGTTTCATTCACACATAACATAACATGCAACCTGCATTGTTGGCGATGTATATTATTTAAACGATTTACATTATGCGTTACATTCTATATGGTTATTAATATTGCATTACATGACCGTCAATGTATAGTGTTAATATCATAAAGCGACTATATATCGTTATGAATTGTGATCGCCGCTTCTTGGTAATCGCGGTTATTGTAAAGTGACACGCCCAAACTTCAACCTTAAGTGATTTGCTTAAGAGTGAATTCAGCTTTACTTTAAAGCGTTGTCGAAAATAGATATTTATTATATCACTAAATCACTAGTGACCGCGGTTCAGGCAAATCACTAGTTGAATAACTGTTTATCACAAATCACGTCCATAGCTAGTTTTCTGCGACAATCAATTTGAGTGAGAATCTAAGAACTTTACTTATTTGAGTTTCAATTTTTTTTTATGAAATGAGAAGTTAACACATAAATAAATTATTATAAATTACACATTGTTTGTTCCAATACACAAGAATTATTTTTGAGTGCAAAATCGATTTTATTCTCATAAAAGAAAAGGAAAAAGGAAAAAGAATTTTATTGAAGACGGAATGGCAACACTGTATATTTCATTTGTCATCGTGTTTTCTTTCTCAGTGTTTTCATTTTGCGTTTTCCTTCGGTTCGCCTTGCGTGTTTTGGTTAGGTTATCTACCCTCATTTTGAAAATGTGTTCTGTTGAACAGAAGCCTGTATTCAAAGAGCTCTCAGCCGATGACCCGGAGCCGCAAGTTACTGAAATCGAGTCGTTGTGTGTTAATTGTCACTCTAATGTAAGTGTTCCAGAAATATCACCGGCCGCAGCACTTTTTCTCGAAACATCAGCAATATTCTTTTAATGCTTACGTATTTACTTACAAAACTGTATTTTTAAATTATTTAGTGTCTACTTAAACTATTTTATTGGTGTTTAGTGTCCACCTACTAATTTTTAACATTTAAAAATTACAAGAAAACTTTAGAAATTCAGTTTTTATTTGTCTAAAATATATATTGTGACCGTTTTTCAGGGTAATGTATTTGTTTTTCATTTTAGTTTAGCTTAAAAATAATTTACTTAAATTTGTCCTTACTATTTTAATTCGAGTTTCCAGGTAATTCAGTGTTTGTCCCATACTATTAGATTATTACTATTAGACAATTTATAGTAAGTTAGTAATCAACCTACAGGAATGACATTTTAAAATAACACAAATATTGGTTTAGCCACATCATCGAAACTGCACTTTCGTCTATCATTATTTTTTGTTTTACCCTACACTATAATTTCAACAGGGTATTACTCGTTTACTACTTACGAAAATCCCGTATTACAAGAATGTGGTCATCATGTCGTTTTCGTGCGAAGAATGCGGTTACGAGAACAATGAAATTCAGCCAGGAGGGGCCTTTGCAGAGCTCGGGGTGAGGTGAGTGGTTTCTTGATAAACTAACTGTTTTCCAATGACTTCGCCTGTGTAAGTGTAGCCTATATTATTTGTGTATAATGTAGCTTCGTGTATGTGAAAAGAATTTTCATGATTGGATCAGTCTTTCCAAAGCTTTTCCTATGCAATTCTCAGTATTTGTGCCCCACCCCCCATTGACAAGTAAATAATAATATATACAAGTAAAATGGGTTTTCAAAAACGTTACATTTCTCTTGTTAAAGAATTAAATTAATACATGTGGGTAGTTGGTTTACACAATGCAACAAATGGAATTACTTAATTTCATGTTTTTAAGGACATAATATAATAATTTTAGTATTGTTTCTGGTACCCCCCAATATATCAGTCTGAGCAATTGCTTATTTTACTTACGGGTTAGTCCATTACTATTGTAGTCGGTTTCGACCAAAGTGGCATCAAAATGCTAATGACTAGTAAATATTGGCATTTATAGCTGAACAGATAGAAAAATTCTTATTAGAAAAAAACAGTCTAAAGTAGAACTACCCAAAGTTTCATTTCAAAATTATTCTGATAAAATTCTATTATATTTTAAGGACATTGCAGAGTTTGGCGTGATAATTATAAAACACTACACAAACTCTTTTTGTACTTTAATACTTGTTGTTATAGATGTATAACAATGCATATCTATAAACAGCTATAGTTTTTCAGATAGACAAAATTGTAATAATAGGCATATAAAAAAAAAACAAAAGTTGATTCAATTATGAATAATTTTTTTGTATTTAAAAAAATATTGCCATCAATTATTTATCTGATAATTCTCCAAAAATTAAATTATCTTGATAATTACAAACCCTGCTATATTTTTGATGTAGTAATAAAGACATCACTGTCAGTCAGTGAAAGCTGCCAGCGGTCATGTCTCATACTTTATTCATTTATAAAAAGCCCAGCTACCATATCCAGTTTGGCATCTAAGTGTTTTTATTATATCTTATAATCTGTTATACAATATATTTTTCCCTATTCCCAACAATAACGGTGTTGTTACATTTCAAGTCTACCCTCAAGTCTCATAGTTCATTGTACCGAAGATGGCTCTATTAGTGTAGCAAATGCAAATATCTGAAACTTAACTATAAAGTATGTGGTATGAGAACATTGGTACCTTCTGATAGACAATTTTTATTTTCTCTGTTGTTCGTAACGCAGATGGAAGCTCCGAGTTGAAAATCAAATCGATCTAAATAGACAGGTGGTGAAGAGTGATTACACCAGTGTCAAAATACCAGAAGTGGACTTTGAGATACCGGCTCAGAGTCAGAAAGGAGGTATGTTACCAAAGTTAGTTTGTGTAAAACTTTTGATAGTGGATTCTTAGAATTTGTGACATTGTAGTAGCATTACAATTACATTGGGAATTTACATTATAGTGTTGAATCGGTTTTGTACTCAGGTCTACATGATAAAATATGACAAATTCTCCAGTCTAATTTGTACTCTACCCTCAAAATATAAAGGTTTTAAAAGTTGAATCGGTTTTGTACTCAGGTCTATATGATAAATTATGACAAATTCTCCAGTCTAATTTGTACTCTACCCTCAAAATATAAAGGTTTTAAAAATTCAAGTGATGAATTGTATTATCCGACTTGCTATTGATTGTACATGACTCCACAGACTGCATTGTACAGAGTGAATGAATACAGTTGACTGTATAGTTATCACTTTTATCTCTTAACCTTCTGACAATAAGTAACAGTAGACAGTAGTGGCCAAAATCTGACTATAGGTAAAGTAAGTTACTTGAAATTTTTAACTGTTATTCTAATAATTATATGTTTTCCGTAATCAAATTCAAATTCAAAATCAAAACGGGAACACTGTTACTACGAATGCTGTCTGTTCGTCTGGCACCGGGCCGTATCTCACGTACGGTGACTGAATGCAGAATTGATCAAATGTAATAATTAGAACTAATTTTTGTTTTTAATGGAAGTTTAAATATTTCTTTCGGCTGTTTGGGTGCATTGAGTGAACATTGTCGAGAATACGCTTTATAATAGCGAAATATTAATAAGCGCTTGAAAGATTCGTTAGTCCTGTTAGGTCCTGGGTAGCTCAGTGGTTAGAGCAGTCGCCCGGATTGCGATAGGTCATGAGTTCGAGCAGTGGCGGACTAACCCTGTCGGGGGCCCGGGGCGGCATTAGGTCCGTACCTACAACTTTTTACAACTGGTGCAGAAACTTGATTTTGTGTTTACACCGCCTCCCCTGCTAAAACTACGAAAGTAAGGAAGATAAGGCAGTACAACCTCAATTTAGGATTTGATCAAGGGAACTTTCAGCCATTTGAAGGCCCTCCAGAGTAAGAGGCCCGGGTCGGACCGCCCCCTCCGCCCACCCCTTAGTCCGCCACTGAGTTCGAGTCCCATCTCAGAGTGCACGGACAAAGTCGATTTTTTATGCATTGTTAATTAAAAATATTTTTCAGTATAGCATTGTTAATGAAAATTTGTTAAAATATAATATTTAATTATATATAAAAAAAATCACTAAAACTGCATTATTCTTAGACATACCCGAGTGATTCACATGCCTGTTTCAATTCAAATGTAGCGCCATCTGTGAGGTCTCCGCTTCGATTGTCAGTTGGGTCAATGTAGAAAACTTTTCTATATAATCATGGGGCCTGGATGTTGTGGTACCTTCATTGTTTCGGATATTTTATATGGGGGTAGTAGCTTATACTCATCTCGGCGATCATCATCATCTGAGCGATGTTGTGATATTTATAAATATTTTAGTTATTAATGTTGTCCGTTTGTAGAAGTGACGACGGTTGAAGGTGTAATATCTCGGGCCATACACGGCCTCACACAAGACCAGGAGGCCAGAAGGGCTCAGCATCCTGAGGCTGCTGAACAGATTGAAGCGTTTGTTGTTAGACTTGAAGCGTTGAAAACTTTGGAACGACCGTGGACTTTGGAATTGGAAGATATCAGTGGTAAGTGTATTCAAATTAAAATAATACTTTATCAGTAATCTCACATAGGTATCGTAATATAATCTTAAAAGCGAAGTAGATTGGTACAATAAGGAAGTATTTTAAGAAAAAAAGAAAGCACTAAAAAGCACCTCACTAGATGGCGACTCTAGCAAAAGTTGATTTTTACAGGAAACGAATGGACCAAAGATACGAATGGTTCGATTAAAAAACTGAAATTTGCAAAGTTCGAAACTTAGATATCGATACTAATATGTACTCGTAAATGTAATACCTTCTCTCAATGATGATCGAAGTGGTTCGATAGCGTAGTGGATAAGCGTTATTGGTCGTTATTGTTAAGCGACTTTCGCTAAGGTCGGTCACGGGATGGGTGACCAAGTTATCTCGAGCTACTCCGTGCACTTTGAGCGGTTGGTCCCGGCTGTATTTGCTTCAATATTCATCTGGCCCAAGTGGAGGGTCACGGCCCATCCTCCTTAATTATCCATAAGAAAGGCCTGAGCCCCTGCAGTGGGAACATAGATGATGGTGATCGTTGATCGAAGTATTGGTCACGAGTCTGTGTTTGAATTCAACTTCCATTCGTTTTGAGTCACTCGCCGTCTCCTGTTCAGGTAATTGTTTTGTGGAGAACCCTGAAGCGCCCCGCAGAGATCCTCGATGTGACCGGACCGACTTCAAGCGTACTAAACAACAGGATCATACCCTGGGCATATTCACACACGAGGAGGTGAGTTAGTTATAACGTCTACTATGTAAGGTGTAATATTATTATGTGCCAGGACTTTGTGGGGTGGATTAGTTAAGTATACTGACCAACTTTTACTATGTAAGCAACATTGATTCAAGAAAAAAAATTTTTTTGTGAAATCAGTGTTGTTGCCATAGTAAAAGTTGGGCAGTATACTTAACTAATCCACTAATAATATTCCACCTATACAAATTTATTTTAAGACATTTTGTGAAGCTTTTTTTTAACAGTGTTGATGTAGCTTTTATACTATGGAATACTTTAAAAAAAAGCTAAGTTATGATTACAGCAAATTCATTATCAATTTTTTTTAAAGATCTTTAAAAACTTCAATAAAAAAAAAGTAAAGTTAATTATATTAATCTTCAAAAACCCTTATTTAACGCTATTAATAAAGGTTCTCTATAAAATTCTCCATAAAATTAATAATTGCTTTTATTATTGAAGCCTTGGAGCGTATCTATAATAATACTACATGCCATATCGCACTAATGTTTTCTGTATTCACGCTCTAAGGAACGTATCCCCTGCGAATAAGGGGCTTCTACTGTACATGCATTTTGCATTATAGTAGTTTATGCAAATGTTATTAAGGGGTACTAAGACACGAGAGTCTGTATATCTATATATATAAAAATGAATCGCAAAATGTGTTGGTAAGCGCATAACTCAACAACGCCTCGACCAATTTGGCCAAATCTTTTTTTAAAATGTTCGTTGAAGTTCAAGGATGGTTTTTACGGCGAGAAAAATTAGAATTATTGCTGGAAAAACCCTAAAAATAGCCCTTTTCTTTTTCCCATACAAATGATTTGTAACTAAAACGTAGTCAATTTGAGCTTTATTGCTATGGTATAAAGTTCATATTAAATTACAAGCACTCACTGTTGTCTAAGCAATGTAGGTGTGTTCCTAACGTCAAAGATCATATCTATCAAAACAATGTGCGTGTGTGCGTTGGAGCACAGAATACATAGTTGGAGGAGTTTAATGTCGCGTTCCGAAACTCGCGTTTCTTTTGTATTAGTTTCGGCACGCGAGATAAAATGCATCAGTTTCCACGTCATTACATCAGTCAAACAAAAATCGCGTTACCAACAGTGTTTTATTATTTTTAATATTCAATTCGTACGGCTTAAAAGGATTTGACTTCAAGTCATATCAAATTTAAAAAAAAAAAAAGTTGTCTGTGACCTAATCTACTGAGTTTGCTTTTGTCAACTGATACACGAAACAAATTCGTATATCGTGTTTTGTGCAGAGTGTTTACTTAGTTAGTGTTTGTTTAGTTCGTGATTAGTGAAAAAATAATTAAATCTTTTTGACAGGACGAAGTCTGTCGGGTCAGCTAGTATATATATATAATAGGTCGACTTGAGTGTTTTAATGTATAAGTTATATGCAGTTTCATACACTACTTTACATGCACTCATAGGTACAATTGAAATTAAACAAAGTAGGCAATTTATGCGCGCGCCATTTTTGATTCTATTGAAATTCAATTATTACATAATCATTAGCTGCATTGGCTTACCAAACGAGCAGTAGATTAAATGGTGGACGTCCAAAAGTACTTAAAGTCTTTTCTTGTCCGATACAGGTGGATGACAGCCAGGAATCGAAGCCATCAATAATATCGGACATGCTATTGTCACCGGCTGATCCATCGGTGGGTTCGTTCGATCAGCTCGCTAAAGATGAAGTGTTACAGTTCAGAACTAACTGTCCGGACTGTAACGCCCCAGCCGATACCAATATGAAATTGACAGGTGATTGTACTGTTATTTATAAACTTATACAGGGTTACTATAATTTATTAATGTTTTATTTCACGATGCTATTTATTAATTAAGGGACCGTCTATTGATCACGTGATGTTTTTTTTTCAGCATTTTTTTAAACCCTTTGGGTGATACATGGTGAGGTGTAAGACTAAACCCCCCCCCCCCCCCCCATCCAAAGCACGTGTATTTTTAGTACAGTTAGAGGAAAAAATAAATGATACACGTGATATAAATATTTTAAATAAATATTTAACAACATCACATACATTGCTCAGATTCCAAGATGAGTAGCTAAACTATCGTACTATGGAGTATCTGAGACAACGAAGGTACCACAACACCCAGACCCGAATCAATATAGAAAAGTTCATTTTCTACATTGACCCGACCGGGAATCGAACCCGGGACCTCAGAGATGGCGGCGCCTTGAAACCGGCGTGCGAACCACTCGGCTACGGAGGTCGTTAATATAGTACTACATCTCCTTTTCCCTTTGTAATATTTCGTGATTTTTGGCGATCCCCTTCCACCCACCATTTCAGCCTCACGTGATTAATGGACGGCTCCTAAGAGAACTGTTGAATCAGTCTTTTTTTTTGTTGGTTAAGCAACTTTGGCAATGGCCAATCTTAGGATGGGTGACCAAAAATGTATTATTTCGACTTTCGCGTTTTGGATCGCATTTTGAGCCGTCAGTCCAGGCTTTTAACACCCACCAATATTGGTCCGAGTGGAGGGTCATGGCCCGTTCTCCATATTCGATTTAATTTGATTCCATCAGGATAGCCTGAGCAGGGAGGATATTAGTAGGCTGTTGATGATGACGAGAGACTATGTATTGTTTCAGCTATTCCACATTTTAAGGAAGTAGTTATAATGGCCACTGTATGTGAGGCGTGCGGACACAGAACTAATGAGGTGAGTCTTATCCATATTAATATTATAAATGTGCAAGTGTGTTTGTTTAACCGTCTTCTATGTCAAAACGGAGCGACGGATTAGTGTGATTTTTTTATGTGGAGACAGTGGAAGGGGTGGAGAGTGACATAGGTTACTTTTTGTCTGTTTCTATTCTCACACCACCCTGAATTAAGGGGTGGAAGTTTATATGGAGTGTTCCGCAATTTTCAAGGCAGAAAGTTTTAAACTTGTTATGCCGACTCTTTTTTCTAAAGAACAATACATGCTAAATTTTTTTTTATTTACCCCCAATCCCCCTAAAAGAGAGGGTGCAATTTTCTATTTGACTTTCCGTAGTGTATAAGATAAAAAGCCATAAATTGATATACGGACTATTTAATTTATTTTCTTTTGAAAAAGAGGGGGTGATGGTATCAAGAAAGAGAAACTTTGTTACCCCGAATGAGACGCGAGCGAAGCCGCGGGTAAAAGTTAGTTATTTTATACAGGGTCAATCATCACTTACTGATTTGAGTAATTTAAAGAATTTAAAAACTTTCATATGACAATTTTAAGATCAATTTTCTCCAAAAAAATGTTATTCTATAGAGTAGAAGCATCTTTTTATTAATTAATTTTAATTGCATCGCGAAAACAAACATTCCCGTGACATTTCGAGCTGTGACGTCACATTTCAATAAACACGAGCACTAGTCGCAATCGCAACGAAGACGTCGTCTATAATAATTTAGTTTATTGAAATGTGACGTCACACGACGCCGTTTCCGTTCTTGTAATGCACAGATTATAAATCGCGAGTGAATTTTGCAAAAACAAATTATAATTACAATCTATTAATTTAAAAATGAAATTGCTCTTTTTAATAAGCTAACATTTTATTTAAAATATGCATAATGAAAAAAAAAGGTCATTATCATAATATGTGTCGTCAATGATATTGTTTTAGGTGAAATCTGGTGGTGGCATCGAAGACAAGGGTGTTAGGTTCGAGGTTCGGGTAGCGAGCAAAGATGACTTCTCGAGAGACATACTGAAGGTAAAACAAAATATTATATCGAATCTGCAATTTTGGATGTTAAGCTACCTTTATAGAGGTCGGTTATGGGATGGGTGACCGTTTAAATATAACCAGACGCCTTTCTTAGGCTAAGTGGCCCGTTGGTTTCGAGATTCAATTCAATATAGTATTTTTTTTTATATTTTTTGCCATTCTTTGTACTTTCGTTGTTTCAAGTGCTTTGGCTACTTAATTTGGTATTTAAGTAACATAAGTGATGTTCTATGATATAATATAATATATATATATATATATATATATATATATATATATATATATATATATATATATATATATAATAAAATAAGATATAATTACTAGGGCGGTGAAGTAGCATTCTATATTAATAGAAAAGATTTTAAAGTAACCTTCAGAAATACAAATACTAACAGCCAGTTTCCGAATTGAGAAAGCTAAAACTCTCAACGGATTATTTTCAATAATATAAGATTTTTTACGTTTTACATGTCAATAGCTCGGTGGCGTAGTGGATAAGCGCCGCGGCCCGCGATCGTTGTCGTTAAGCAACTTTCGCAAGGGTCGGTCACGAGATGGGTGACCGAAAAATTAACCAAAACAGTACATTATAAAAATTATTATCTCGAGCTACTCCGTGCTTCGGATGGCACGTTAAGCCGTTGGTCCCGGCTGCATTTGCAGTCGTTAATACCCTCCAATCCGCATTGGGCCAGCGTGGAGGGTCATGGCCCATACTCCTTAGCCATCCTCATAAGGAAGGCCTGAGCCCCTCCAGTGGGGACGTAAAAGGGTTGGTGATGGTGATGGTGATGACATATCAAGAAGTCCTAGTTTTTATGAAACTGCTGTTTAATGATCATAAAAGTTTTCGCATACGCTTGCGAACGCGGAACACCTGCGGAAACTATGCGAATACGGACAGGACTGTCGCTGTAGTGTGTGAATCATATACACCAGAGCTTCCCAAAACAATGTTTTCTTCTAGATCATTTTAAAAATTTACTAGTTTCGGTGGACCCACCAGAGGTTCCCAAAACAATGTTTTCTTGTAGACCATTTAAAAAAAAAATACTAGTTTCGGTGGACCTCCTGTTGCTACACTTTTACCATATTCCCAAAATTGGTCCAAAATGTGAAGATCTAACGATGGATATTAGATTTATTGCACGCAAACGTAGACCCTGTTGAACCCTTCGTGGACCAGCTGGACCATTTAGGGAATCATTGGTGTACACTCATCTCTTCTTAGTATAGAAAAAAGGTTATTCCTATTTTGCCTTTCACTTTTTTATATTTGGAAATGAGGAAATATTTTAAGACAGCACTAAAAAGCACCTTCACTAGATGGCGACTCTAGCAAAAGTAGATTTTTGCAGGAAACGAACGGACCAAAGACAGTCTTTTCCGTTCCTTTTAACTAACATATTAAAAAACTGAATTCGCAAAGTTCGAAACTTAGATATCAATACAAATACGAAAAAGTGCAAATAGAATATGAGTTGTTTATTGAGTTTTGAAAACTAATTTACTTTTATACATGAAAGAAAACCGGAAGGGTTGTCGTGGAGAAATCAGGAATGTACCGTAGCGACATCTAGTTTGATTTCGGGAACTAATGTTTTTTTTAAATACTTCCTCATTTATTGTCGGTTTTAATATCGGGGACTTCTGATTTCGAAAACCGGGGATAGATTGATTTCGAAAACCAATGTTTTTCTTTTCTAAATAATTCTTCATTTATTGTTTGTAATCAAAGATATCGGTCCGATATTAACCGGTTACGGGTAACGGGGGATGGGGAGGGAGGTTCCGTAATCGTAACTCGGTGTCGTGTGTTGCGGGGCGGGTATCAAAGGCGGAGACGTGTAGCATGCGCGTGCCCGAGCTGGAGCTGGAGGCGGGCGGGCGCGCGCTGGGCGGGCGCTTCACCACCGCGGAGGGGCTGCTGCGCGCCACCGCCCGCCAGTTGGGGGGCGCGCCTGGCCTCGTGGGGGACGCCCCCGCGCTCGCTGCCGGTGGGCTGGACAGGTGAGGGGGCACGATAGGCAGATTGGAAGCGCGTTACAGGAATGAACGATGGGCTGGACAGGTGAGGGGGGCGACAGGTGCAGAGTATGCTAGGCAGATTGGAAGTGCGTAACAGGAATGAACGATGGGCTGGACAGATGAGACATTACTGTACATAAACACCGATAATGAGACACAATAACACGAAGAACGAATAGTACGATCGGCGGCGACGGATATGGGACAGGAGAGGGGGGGGGGGACAGATGCAGAGCAGACAGAACAGATTAGACAGATGTAAAAGTAGGAAACAAAGAGTAAGAATGTGGATCAGGTGAGGGGGGGGGGGACGAGGGGCGATAGATGTAGAGCATGTCTAGGCAGATTGAAAAGTGCGTAACATAAAGAAGAATATGGAACAATGTGAAGAGGAGACATATTCAGAGAATGTTGGACAGATTGAAAGTGCGTATCATAGAGTAAGAACGTGGAGCAGGAAAGGGGAGGCAACAGATGCAGAGTATATTAGGCAGATTGAAAGTACGCATCATAGAGTAAGAATGTGGAATAGGTGAGGGGGTGGAGGGCGATAGATGAGTATATTAGACAGATTGAAAAGTGCGAAACTAAGAGTAAGAATGTGGAACAGGTGGAGGGAGGGAAGGGCGATAGATGCAGAGCATGTTAGGCAGATTGAAAAGTGCGTAACATAAAGTAAGAATATGGAACAATGTGAGAATGTGAGGGAGACATATTCAGAGCATGTTGGACAGATTGAAAGTGCGTATCATAAAGTAAGAACGTGGAACAGGAGAGGGGGGCAACAGATGCAGAGTATATTAGGCAGATTGAGAAGTACGCATCATAGAGTTAAAATATGAAAAAGGCGAGGGGGTAGGGCGACAGATGCAAAATATATTAGGCAGATTGAAAAGTGCGAAACAAAGAGTAAAAATATGGAAAAAGGTGAGGGGGAGAATTGTGATGGTTACCGAGAAAGGGCAACAAATGGGGTATAAATTAGTAGAGAACGAGAAGCAACAAACTGTACCTAAATTATAAACTAAGTATATATGAATGAATGAAATAACAAATGACATATGAATGAATGTATTAACTATGTTAAAGATTTATAAAATAAGTCAATAAATAAAATACTTATTAAATAAGTTAATAAATTAATGTATTGTAAATGTTTTAATCGAGTTTAAAGTATATTACATAAAATAAAAAATATTAATAAATGAATTAATGTTTTATAAATGTATTGATTAAATTTATGGTACATTAGATATATAAATGAAATGGCTATTAAGTGTTTTAATAATAATTAACTAGACCAATAATATTTATAATTAAAAATGGCAACAGTTGCCCCTCAGTATTTCTGTGCCCTTACACGGAGTCAGTTGTACAAAACTTATTTATAACATTTGTATGGCTCGTGACTTGCATTGAATAAATTGAATTGAATTGACACCTAAGTTGTTTTTAAGCAACTTTCGCTAAGGTCGGCCACGGGATGGGTGACCGAAAATGATTACCTTGATCTACTTCGTGCTTCGGAAGGCACGTTAAGCTTTGTTATAGACGTAAAGTGCTTGCGTCAAGATTGTTTACTAATCGTTCTGTTACCCCGGATTTGATGCGAGCGAAGTCGCGGGCTAAAGCTAGTTATTTTATACAGGGTCAATTATCACATACTGTTTTGGTTAATAAAGTATTTAAGAACCTTCATATGATAATATTAAATCATTTTTCTCCAAAATGTGTTATTCAATAAAGAAAAAACATGATTTTATTAATTAATTTTAATTGCATCACGAAATAAAACAGTCGCGTCACATTTCGAGCTGTGACGTCACATTTCAATAAATTACTATCTCGCATCGGGAGGCACGTTAACCCGTCGGTCCTGCCCGCATTTGTAGGACGTTAATACCCTCCAACTCGCATTGGGCCCGCGTGGAGGGCCTCTGCCCATCCTCTTTAACCATCCATAAGGAAGGCTCGAGTCCCTGCAGAGGACGTAGAAGGATTGATGGTGATTGATAACGGAATGATTGAACTCACGTCGCAGGGTGGTGAATATGCTGGACGAAGTGCTGGAAGGTAAAAGAGCTGTAACGATAGTTCTGGACGATCCAGCGGGCAATTCTTATGTGCAGAGCTTAAATGATGATCCGGTTGTACCAGACGATGGTGAGTATGTTTCCATGTATTAGACGGTAGTTCTGTTTCACTGTCAAGAGATGGCGCTGATTTGATTTTTTTTTCTAATATTTGTATCACCTATCGTTGCCTCAGTAGCTGGTGGTACGTTCGATCTGCGATGCGGATATTGAGCTTCCATCGCAAGGGAGGGTAATAGGATGGGTGACCGAAATTCTTTTTGTTTCGAACTCCTCCGTTCTTAAACGCATTAAGCTATTGGTCTCGGTTGCGTCTGCAGCTGTTAACATCGACCGGTCCTCACTGGGCCTCCCGTTTCCCTTCCATCCACCCCGGCAGAAGTGTCATTATTAGTCTGGTGATGGAATGGTTCTTCGGGGATGAAAGTACCGTCAAATATTGATTTCAACCGCACGACCGAAGCCGCTGGCGAAGTGCTTTTCTATACATATATTATTAAAGAGAAAAATTTGATTGTTTGTTTGTTTGCTTTGAATAGGATCCAAAACTACAGCATGCCAATTAAGCTAATGTTTATTTAATAACCGAATATCAACAGAACCTAGACTACTTGCATTGTACCATTGTACAATCTATCTGAGGTCACACATCAACGGTCACAGATCTAAATATATATATATATATATATATATATATATATATAACTCAAAGGTGACTGACTGACATAGTGATTTATATATAACTCAAAGGTAACTGACTGACATAGTGATCTATCAACGCACAGCCCAAACCACTCGACGGATCGGGCTGCAATTTGGCATGCAGGTAGATGTTATGACGTAGGCATCCCCTAAGAAAGGATTTTGATAAATTCCACCCCCTAGGGGATGAAATAGGGGGTGAAAGTTTGTATGAAACTTTGTCAATTTTAAACCGATCGGGCTGAGACTTTGCATGCATAAAGCTACTATGACGTAGGCATCCCCTAAGAAAGGATTTTGATAAATTCCACCCCTAAAATGATAAAATAGGGGATGAAAGTTTCGATAAATCATCTTAGATTTTCGACTGATTGAACTAAAATTAAAGATTGGAGCTTCTTTGATGAAGAACGTCCGCTTAAATTGGATTTTGATAAATTTTTCTCAAAGTAACTTTACCGCGGACGAAGTCGCGGGCAAAAGATAGTATATAATAATATTGGGCTTCAGGTAGATAGTACAATGTCGAGATTATATCGTGATGTGCTTATTACGTAAACATTACCAGAATAGGCCTGCTGGATCGATATTAAAGATTATGTCACCTGGAAGCTGCATTCTATGCGGGTGACACTGGATATAATTTACGAGAGCAAAGTCGTGGTAAAACAACTAAAGTACACATATACTATTTAAATTATGCGCTTCGGCTATATTAGTCGAGCTTCGGCAATCCTAATGTATTTTAAAGATATCTATATAGAGTTGTTATTACATAATTAATCACTTAAATTTAGATTAGGTCAGCCAATTTAAATATAAAAGTTTACTGTGTTTCTTGCCATCAGCTGATACCAAAATGAAAACCCCAGATTAAAGAAAGTCGAATTAAGATAAATCGGTTATACTAACTTAATAAGTTTCTGGCACCAGTAAGTAGAACAGTTTTTTTTAATAAAGCAAAATTCATCAATTAATCACAATTTGATATGACTTCTATACTCGACATTTCAGACTCAGAATCATTACTGTCGCTGCTGGAACCAATGTTTTAGTACCTATATTCAAATACGGTAATTTGGCGTATAACAGCTCTATACAATTCTTAATACTGAAATATTGCGTGCTGTCACTTCCATCACAGTCGAGGTACTGACGAGTTTTGGCGGCTAAAACGACGATCACACGTTGGTTTCTTGATCGCATAATTTAAATAGTACATGTGTCATCATCATCAGCCCTTTTACGTCCCCACTGCAGGGGCTCAGGCCTTCCTTATGGATGGTTAAGGAGGATGGGCCATGACCCTCCACGCTGGCCCAATGCGGATTGGAGGGTATTAACGACTGCAAATGCAGCCGGGACCGACGGCTTAACGTGCCTTCCGAAGCACGGAGTAGCTCGAGATAATACTTTTTTTTGGTCACCCATCCCGTGACCGACCCTTGCGAAAGTTGCTTAACGACTACGATCACCGGCCGCGGCGCTAATCCACTACGCCACCGAGCTACTTACCGTATATGTGTATGTGCTATTAATTGCAATGACCATTTCCTTTCCATGTCCAGGTTTGAAGATCACCCGTTACGAGCGTACGTTCGAACAAAACGAAGAGTTGGGTCTGAACGATATGAAAGTGGAAGACTACGAGGAGAGTTAACGCTAGTTGACTGGTAGAATATCTGTAGGTATTAAGCGAGCCATTTGTACAGTTGTGTGCAATAAAGTTTAAATAAAAATGAAAAATCGGCTTTAGTGTTGTGGTCGATATCGATAAAACATATTATCGATAAGTTAAATCTTAACGCTATATCGATATTATCTAATGTATTTATTTATTTATAATATAATTAAACATTGATATTGATAATAATATTACTTATTATATACTTTCCATAACGTGTATATGATTATCTGACGTTATGTCCTTTGTATTTTTTTACATTACATGTTTGGATGAAACTTATAGTTTTTTCATATATCTAATTTATGTATTATTGTGTATATGTTGCAGTCAACTGGCTAAAATAGTCTTTCGATTGGACGTCTAGCCATTTTATTGAATGTCAACATTCAATTTAATGCGCTAGCTATCCAATTTAACTTTAATTTAAATAAAATAGCAAATTTGGCACGTAAAGTTTTTCTAATCGTTTCTACGAGCTCAATTGTAATGTAATTAAAGTTTAACATTATTTCTTAAGATAGTTAATATAAAATAATGTTAGTTTTTTTGGTTGTTTTATTTTTAAAACGTATGTTTTTTTTAATCAATAATTGTGTCATTTTTTTTGTATTTACCAGGTCTGACTGTATCTATAATGTAAAATATAGATTTCAATGGGTATTTAAAGTAAATGGTTATTGTGTGAGACATCAGTTGTCTTATGTGTAGATATAATTTCATTATAATAAGTGGTTCTCAAACTTTATTTGCTCGTAGTCTACATTCAAAATTAGTAAGTTTCAGTTCTGCTGCTGCTATATTCTTTAAATATTGTTTTATTGACTAAAGCTCTGGTTCTCGAAACTTTATTTAAAATTAGTTGGTTTCATTTCTGCTTCTACCATATCTCTGCCATATTCTCAAAAGTCATTAAAATTTTAAAGATTTAAAAGAAGAGTTGTCTGTCTGTGGGTACTACTATTTGACCAGATTTAGTTATCTATCAAGCTGAAATTTCTTTGAAGATCTCGTTTTGTCTTTCCTCCGAGATATTATACAGATTTTGGATTCGTTTTATTTGTTTCAAGCTTTAGCGGTTTCGTTCTGTATTATATATATATATTTTAAAACCTTAATTTTGAATCACCCTGTATATCGATGAAGACCTTGACAAAAAACGTCGTGTAGTTATAAATACGATAGCGTACAGACAGCGGGAAGCGACTCTGTTTTGTTCTATATATAAATAGAAGATAGAAGATCTTTTGGTCCAAAATGTCCAACAAAAGATTGACTTAAAACTATATGTATTATTAAATCTTTCAGAATAACTAAAGCTTCAAATGTATATGCGAAAGAAAAGCCGATGACGGCGGTTTGTATCTACATTTGAAGTGGTTTTATGTTTTGAAAGATCAAATTGTTGTTTCTCAATCGTCCCGTCTGTCTGTCTTTAAAGGAATGGTCATTCGAGTTCCGTTTTATTTGAAAACTTGAGAAAAAAAAATGGCGTTGTTTGCTACCTCTAAATGTTTATTTTATAGTTGTCTGCGCCGTTTATTATTAATATTACTCGCGTCACAATATACAATAAAAAACTATACAAACGACTCAAGCGGTAGATAATAACCTTAAAATTCCATCTGCTCAATATAAAAAAAAGATCTCTCTCTGTCATCTGTAATGGTGTCAACGAAACTACGCTCCTCTCGAAAAATAAATCGCAGTGTTAATATATCACTAAAAATTAAATAAATAAACTGTGCTCTATATAAAAATATATATCTACGTAAGTCCACAAAATTTTCATAAATTCAATCATTTGGAAATCGTCCAATACTGTTTTATCATATTTAAGTTATCTGTGAAAATTTCAATGGTCGTGTTCGATTAGGTCGAAGGGTCTTTTCCATTTGGGTACAGAACCCTGACAATGAGATGACTACACATGTGTAAAGTTCATCCACGCCCATCATTCGGATAGTTGGAAGTCCTCAACTTGCGTTTTTCTCGAACTTTCCTGCCTCGCACAGTCAAACTCTGGAACAGTTTGTCGACAGCGGTATTTCCGGACCGATACGACCTTCAAACTTTCAAGCGTAGAGCATTTTCGTCCCTCAAAGGCCATGGGCGACGGTAATCACACCATCAGGTGACCCATCTGTTCGTCTGGCCCCTATCCCATAAAAAAACCGGGTGAAAACAAGGGGGGGGGGGGATCATAAAATGATCTCTAAAATCCATAATTTAGTCTTTATTGTGGGGAAATTTGGTTTAAATATGATTTAGAGTGTAGCCAAGGGTTGGGGTTGAGAATTGAGATATGTATCCTCTGTCTCTGTCTGATTCATGTACTGTCCTGTTGATCTCGTTTCACTTTCTCCTTGCGTGTAGTTTAGTTAATTGGTACAATGTGGTATTTGTCAAATTGGATGCTGAACATGAGCGAAATTCTCGGAATCTTCAAGTAAAATTCTTTTTCTTTTGGAAGACTAGTCTTGTTTGTTTCTTTTTTGGTTTTCATCTAAGCGTCTTAGTAATTTATTTTCTTTTTTCACAAAAACAACGGATGTACCACAATAGTGTGTGGAATAAAAAAAATTGGTATATTTGGGTTTTTTTTTTATAAAAGTGATTTCGGCCATTTTTGTTTATAAGTTGCCACTGTCCAAATTATTCGAACACCATTTTGTCAAGAGACTTGTGAGGGTATCTGCTGATTATTCGTATTGTGACATATATATCAATAAAATTTAGAGTTTTCTCCTTTTTTGAATCTTGAAAAGCCATTTTTATTTCTATTGTCTTTCAACCATCTAATTTTGGTGTAACATCCCAAGTTTTAGTTTCTGCGAGCAATATAATCTGAGTTTCCACTGCGCCAACGCATTTATAATCCTTGCTACTCTTTGTAGCTTCGCCATATTTTTATATCTTCTCTATATAATTGAGGCACTTAACGTTGTCAAAGTGTAGGACGCACATATTTAAGATTCCCTGTTCATTTGCATATTTATTATTATTTAAGTAGAGCTCCCCACTGTTTTGCAGGCCTTTTATGTAAATTTTTTTGCTGTAGACTTATGATCTTATTTCTGGCATGTTTTATGCTTTTCTTTATATACTAACTAATTTTGTTTACGGAATTGTCTTTTACAATTTTGATTTTATGATTTGTAACATTTTACTCGGTTAAGATTTTTGTAAATACATTTTAACAGTTCTCTGCTTTTGCATTTAATGTCGAGTCAATATGACTTCCTTTCGTTCATAATGAGTATAATAGGTCTTCTATATTATTGTTCGTAGATAATGAATTGTAGTCTATGTTTTGTATCTGTTAAATATTTTTGTTTGAGATCACTAATGCTGTCTTATTGCATGTATCACGTGATAGACTTTCTTCATCAATCATACGTGATATAAAATTTTGATTAGTCTATCAGAAGATAACCAAGCTTGTCGTAGAGAACGTTATGCTGGTGGCAGACCGTGACGTATCACACATTTTTCCCCATATTCTCTAAGTTTCTTGGATAAAACTTCAACTTTTTTTTTTATTGTAATATAAAATGAAAACCTAAATACAATATTATTTGCACCTGGTTAGGTTTGTTGTGGTGCTGTACACTCTCAGATTTTTTTATATAATTTAACATACTAAACGTTTTTTTTTAATGATCAATTAATATAATCTGTTAAAAAAAAAAACAAAAATATTGCAATCATAATTTAATAGGTTTTATTTATTGAACTCGTGCGCGACTCACCATTGCTGATAGCCAACCGGCTAGGTGTGCTTAAAACAACGCATAGGCTGATTGAGGCATAATCCCCACCATTTTCTTTTCCGTGTTATCACTGATTTTATTGTAATTCTGTACTACTGTTTATACAGGTTGTTATTCGGACGCGCCAAATCAGACGTAAAATACTTTTTTGATTTAGTTTTCAAGTTTTTCTGATTGATTTCATTTTTTATTTGTAATAATAAATCGTTAATTAATCTGGGTATTATATATTCAGCTGTTCTTTCTTCATAGTAGTTTGCCGATTTTATCTTTATGTTTTTGTTTGTAATATGCCTAGTGTGTGTTTTATGTTCGACGAAAGATTTACTGAAATTAAAATAGTTTTCTGAAAGTTTCTGCAAGCTTTTGAAGTATATTGTGCCATAATATCACTAGAACAGTAGGTATTATTAGAGACAACTTTATCTAGTTTATAAATCGTTTAATGTAATATGTATTTGAAAACTGATTTCAATAGATTTTCAACAACTTGTCGAAGAGTTGAGCAGTTGACTTGCTGATTCATTGAATACAAACCACCGGTGTTAGCACAGTAACTAGTTATTTTGAGTTAATAATTCATGTGCCTAAATTACACGAGCATGGTCGGTGTGGGCAGGCGGGAGGAAACGGGAAATACACCTCTTTACAATTTTTAATGTGGCAGTGTTGCCAGCATGTTGCGGCCTCACAAAGATTCTAAACAAGTTAACAAACCTTAAATGCAATTATACCGACATGCTATGGCATTACAAAAAAATATATACATATGTACTCAAGTATAGTATGTAAACTTCAATGGGTTCAATTAATGTGCAAGACCTTATTGTACAAGATACACGACATTGAGCTAACTATATTTAAGTATTAATTCTCAAACTATAAGAATAGCAAGTTAATTCTAACAAATTTTCAAATTGGATCTAATCTGAGTTTTGCCATTTGCTTCTACAGATTTGACATGGCCATCATGACCAGGAAACACTTTAACAATTCTAGCCATTGGCCAACACATTGTAGGTACATTATTTTCCTTTAAATTTACAAGATTACCAATTGTTATATTAGGTTTAACATCTAACCACTTGTGTCTGTTTTGCAGAACATTTAAATAATATTTATAATGCATAAATAAATAAATTCAAAAAATACCAATGTCGCCAAAAGGATTGTTAATTTGGGTGTATTTTTTCCAAAACTTGAGTCTATTTTGTGGAATATTACAAATTTTGTGTTCGGGGTACATTTTTAGTGCGTTTCCTATTATTCTGGCGTTATCTCGTCGCAAAACTCTTATGTCAATGTCAAAGAGACAGTGACAGCTCAATGACACCTAGGGATTCCCGTAATACAATCGATAATTAATGATGTTAATGGTATTCGATATTTTTTTTTGTCTAAAAATATTTTGGTAGAATTTTTCATGAAAAATCTGATTTATGCTCACAGTTTCTAATTCATTCATTATATCAGTTTCGCAGTTTTCTATCATAGATATCTGGCTGAGATCTATCGAAGATTTCAAAGTGAATATTGCCATTCCGTCTTATTTATTCCACTGTGCTGTCGTATCTGAAGGTTTTTCAATATTCAAAACTTTTGCCTTCAATACCCACTTCGCTTAAAATTTTTGCTGTCAAACTTCCCAACTTTAATTGACTTTGTGACTTCCACATTGAATTTTAACATGTTGCTCTTTGCACTCTTGAACTATTTACGATAATTAGCGTCCTAGGCCGATAGACCTTGTTGGGTATGAACCGTGCAAAGGAT